TGGAGAAGACAGAAATGCGGGGTCGTGTTCTCAGATCTGAATCTTTCTTTTGGAGGTAGGGTTTGTTTCTCCGGAAGGCGAATGAAGAGGAAAAGGTGCAGGTCAGTATTGAGACATCGGGAACCCAACGGATGTTTTGAGATGTATTGAATACCTACAGCCTGTTTGACCTTTGCTTTGATAGGACAAGACCGTGGTTTGGCTCCAAAACAGGGGTCAATCAGGTTCTAGATGCACCTAGGTGAAACTAGAGGGCCAGCGACTAACCATGACAAACCTTTGGGCTTCGCCATTCGTTCATTCTCAGGTCTTTCCAATCTATTTTCTTTGACTATATATGTGCGCACTGGTATTGGGGTCCGGGCCATGGGTTTGCCCTGAGTTGTTCCTCCTCAACTCTTCTGGCATAAGTTATATTTTTAAATTTTAAGTTGATCTGAGGTCTTTCCCATTACTGCCTTCGGCGTCTTCGTGCTCTACTCCTTCACCGAGGACGCCTTCTGGCGCTCCCCAGCCAACCCAGGTACGCCAAAGGCCAAGGCAGCTGAGAAGGCCTGGAGGGAACATCCGCTCTTCGCCGACATCAAGGAGCGCCAGGGCAGCGCAGCGAACACAGACGAAAAACCGAACTGATCGGGACTCATTTGGGGTCCTTCTGAAGGGACGCTGGGACTGAGGAAAGGGGTCAAGGGACGGTGAAGATGGCATGTATGATGCGGCTATGCATGTAGATGTGTGTAGATTTGGGTGGGTTTGGAAGTTCTGGACTGGAAGTGTTAAATTGTCCGTAGTGCTCTAGGAGCTTTTTTGGACACAGGTGTTGGCAGTGGGCTTAAGCTAACAGCCTGCCTCAATGAAGCGATTACTAGTGGCATCAATCAGAACTGAAGCGGTTGCACGAGGCATTGACGATCAGAACTGGTAAGTGGACTCCATTGCCATGTAGCTCTTCCAAGGACAAGATGGACTGCCCCAGATGCTCAGCTCCCTTAAGTCCCCACAGCTCGCCATAGCAATTATACCTCCAGCATGAACACTTCAGATTTCACGTGGCCTGGAAGTTGGGGAGGAAGGAAGACTCAATACTGACACAGTTTTTTGATTGTTTTTGACCTTAAAACCTGTACATATATAGACTTATACCCATGTAAACGTATGTGCCAGGACAGCCACAGGGTGGTTCACCCTTCCTTCCAGGATCCCATGTTTGGCCTCTTGAACCCTGACGACTACGAGAAGGGCTTGGAGGAGGCCTGGGAGCGAGCGAAGCCCGCGGGCAGCACCGTGACCGTGAAGGAGAAGTTGGCCAAGCTCTCCAAGTGGCTCGAATGAAGCTCTGGGACGGGTGGCAAAAACATTAGACTTGAAAGGGTGAAGAACTGGAGGTCCAACAGCGACCCAAGCCGAAAGAATGGTTCTTGGGAGGTCTTGGAAGTATATGTTTTCCAAATTCTTGAGCGTTGCAACCACATCTTCAGGAGGTGGATTGTCATGCAGATGACATGTACCCTTGATTCTGGATATTTCTGGATGCAAGTGGAATTCTGTGCCACGTCGACATACCATGGATGCCACATCGAGTTCACCGGGAAAAGCGGCATGTCCCCCCGTCCGTGACGTACGGAATTCAAAAACCTATCATGGTCACTGTAAGGTGCCCAGTGATACACCGTGGCTGCTTGCACGGTCCCCTCAGGTGTTTATCAATGGCCCTTGAAGGTAAAAGCTGTCCATTAAGCACCTTGATCGTGGGCCCTGGTCCAACCAATCACCACACTTGAAGAGCACAGCACCCAAAATCACCTTGTTAGGCTGACAAAGTGTGGTGCTTCAAGAGTGCTGCATTGGTTTGGGTGCGTTGGTGAAGACGTATGGAGACGAAAGGCTCCCTATGGACTCCTTCGCATCCACAGACTCGTTGGTGACCTGAAGAGGTGGCAGGAGACGCACACCATGGAGCCCCAGAAAAGGGCCGGAAGGCGGAGGCCCTGACATGCCAGTCAGTGGACCGCCTTCAACATGCTTCACCCTGAGGTGTTCTCCTCCCCCCACTAGAGAAATAAAACCACAAAGAGACAGAGAGAGAGAGAGGGAGAGAGAGAGAGAGAGAGAGAAGAAAAACATCGGATGACATGGCAGGTGGCAAAACCCAGTGTTAGAGGAAAGTCGTCTTCCAAGAGGCCATGTTTTTCCACTTCGATCCATGTGATGTGTTCATCAGAGTGGAGCCCAACGGTTGGCCACGGCCGCAGCCGTTTGGAGCACCACCAGTTCTGTCGATCCGAACTGGCGTCAACCGAGGCAGAACGCGCCGCACTGGGAGACATGGAACAAGGTCTCCTCCGCATAGGCGACCCATCCGCGCGCTTTTTGGACCAGAAAAGGAGCTGCAGGCTGTTGCATCAAGCCTCCCAGTGGCCGCAAGAACATGAGGGGTGTGGTCATGTGTGGTTCCTTCTTTTGCATGAAACGGAGCGCGACATCTATTTTCACGCTGGGCCTCCCAAAAAAACATCTCTGGCGCTCGGATCACACCGCGGAGTGGGTCCGCGCCGCGGCGGAGCTATTGGGGTTTTCTCTCCGGCCACCCGAGACCTTCACCGACTCAGGCCTGTTCCGAGGTCCGACGAGGCGGGTGTAGCTTGGCCGACCAAGGCATAGAGAGAGAGGCATAGAAGATGCATAGAAGCATAAAACATGTGCATACGCTAGGTCAAGTGAATGTGCTGGGTTGGGGGACACCTACCAGGTTACCAATTGAGTGTCGGTTTTGGTCTGTGTTTCTTGGTCACTGTCAAGGTATGATGCCCTAAGGCCCTAAGGCAATTTGCACGGCCAAAGTGTATAATTGATAGTATATAGCCACTTGACCGCTGTGATGGGAGACGAACACATGTTGGATGCCTTTTCCGGTCCCCCGCGAAGGAATTGGCTCAGCTGTCGTTACGCGGTGGTCTCGCTCAGCTGTCTCGGCCAGGCCGCGCTGGTCTTGTTTGCGGGCCCAGCAGGAGGGAAGCACTGCCCCAGACGCGCCGAGGGCGAGAGGATGCCGCCCAAAGGGAGCGCTTGATCTCTAGGTGATTCATGCGGGAACCATGGCATACAAATCATCAAATGAATGACGTTCACGTGAGCCATTCGATAAACCCATAAGGCCATAAGGGCTTTGTAAGCGTTCCCGCAGGCCAAAGTATTATATAAGACATGGGAACCTACCAAAGTTTGCAGAATCGCTCGCTTGAATGCTAGAGATGGTTGATGCTGAGGCTACCGACAAGAAGCTTGGCTGGTGGGCTCAGAGCTTTCTTCCTCGATCAGCTCAGCGGTTTATGGGGCAGGCAACCTCCTTGCATGCTGGACCAGGATGAATGCTCTCCAAGATACTGTGAATCCACCAGGCAGACTTGGCACACTCAGAGGAACAAGCTGTTGAAAGTCTTCAAACAGGTGGTGACAGGCTATCCCCAAATGCCACCACAAGTTTGCTCATGACGAGGGAATGTCCAAAAGCAGACTCTGCCAAAAAGCTGATCTCTGTGATTGCTGCAGTGTTGCTAAGGCGGGCGGTTTGCAATATGAGGATGAGGAGCACCGGTGCCCAGCATGTTCAGATCAAGTTAAGAAGGCGTTCCTACTCTTGGGTTTCTGGTTGAGGTGCCTAGCCGCCACGACAAAACTACACGGGTGAGTTGAGGATTAGTTGAGGAACATCTATAATGATCTATATTGGTTTTTGTTGATAAGAGACACCATTCACAAGATGGGGAGCCCGAGTCCCTGAAACACCAAAGACCGCAGTTGCCGGGCTTGAGCAAGACCGAAGAGGTGGGCTTGAGGACCTGGGTGTGTTGATTTTGATGTGCTTGTGCCGTTGTGCCAACCACCCAGTGAAGGCGCATGCAATGTAACTCCTATAGGTCTGACATGTACCCAGCCCTATAAGAATCAGAATCCGGGCCCGAACCAGCACGTAGGGTTTGGTTCGGGTCCAGATCAGGTCCGACCCCGAAGGTGTCGGGCCCAGGTCTGTGACTTCGCCCGAAGGCCTTGAAAAGAACCCGATGCCACCCCCGGACCTTACAAGACCCTTGAACGAGGAACACCGCAGCAGCGCATCGATTCCGTAAACGACATGATCCAGAAGAAAAAACAGCGTCCAACAGCACCAAGGGTTTAGGGGGTGCATTAAGGGAGGGGAAATGCGATGAAGTACCTCGTCCAAGGTGTCGACCACAGGCATGCCATATGTCGCGACGTGTTGGAGCGATAGATCGACATCGGTCGGTCGGTCGAAATCCTGGCAACCACCCCTGATAGAATATATTTGTCTTAACACCCATTGGTTTACTAAGGCTATAGGGATGGATTTGACGCTACTGGCCAGGTCAACGGTTTCGGTCTTTGGAGGCTAGGGGAAGGAACTGTTAGCTGCGTTGAGGCCAGGCACTTGCTCCAGTGCGAGCGCACTGCTCCCCGAGGCACGGCAACCGCACAGCCGGGAAGCAGAACTGCCAATGCGTGTACCCCACACGTATTGAATGCTATCCCCACCTATAGGAGTGTGAGAACGTTGGGCACTTGAAACACCATTGGAACACCTAGGGGTATGCTGCCTCCAGCCCCCCGCCCTAGACGTCCAGGTTTGCCAGGGGTTGCGCTGCCTTGACCAGGTTCCAGGATCTACTCCTGGAAGGCCCCTGAGAAGGGGGAGAGCGACCCATCACACCTCTATGGTTTTCCCCATCAGTGAACAACCTTACGGCATGTTTTATAGTAACTTAGAACGTGTTTTTTGAGGAATTGGCTTCCCCAAGAACATGAACCGATTGAATAAGGCTTGGAGGGAGGGAAGTAGAAGTGATCGCTGTGCCGCAGGACGATGTCCCCTCACCTCAATTAGAGGGCAGTGGCACGTGGTTTTTGTGGGTGGTGGTGGATGGATCTCTTCCAAGCACTAGAGGCACGGCTCAGGATCATCCAATCTCTTTGTTGAACACACCGCTGGGTCATTCTCTCGGAAATTCAACAGATTGTTCAAGTTTAGATTCTTCAAGTTTTAGATTCTTAGATGATGCAACATGTAGCTAGATAAGGTTCTTTGGGACTTTGAATCACCTGGATTACAGTATATAAAGATCATAGAACTACTCTGATCACATGAACCATCATGTGGTTTCGACAACACCGGCCGCCCATGTCTAACCTGTCCCCTGCCTTTGCCTTCCTAAGAAGAGCAAAGGTTGTGAGCCGCCTCTTGACCGCAACTGCGCCAAGCTGCAAGGCGTAGACATGGACCCCTCCATTGTTTTCCTTGCGGTTCCTTTAGGACACGCTGGGTTTGAATCTCTCCATTGTTATGGACCCCCCCCATTTGTTTGCTGAAAGAGAGAGTAACTGAGTAGCTCTGAGAGAGCGACTGACTTGAATCTCTCCCTCGTCCTCATGGTTACGTGGACGATGGGCACCCGGAAAGAACATGAAATCCACGACATGGCATGATCATATACATAGACCGACAAGACTATGACAAGTTACTGTATTTCACGGGGTGCTATGTCGGGTGATCCCTTCACTGGATGGACTAAACTTGAATACACTGAAGGAGGATCACCCAAAATAGACTCCCTGAAACCTCCCAAAAGAGACTCACCTGCTTAAATTTGACTCCCTTCACTGGGTGGACCAAAGTCTTTGAATACTCTCCCTTTTTTCCGCATGGTCTTCGGATGAAACCACCTGGTGAGCTCTTCGGATCGGGTCCTTTTCGAAGCGAATCGGGTGAAGCACTGGGTCACAGAAGTTATATGCCAGGGGTGTGGAGGAACACCCCCCCTTCTCAATCGACACGTGGTCTCCAGAGGTCATGAAATTGGACAAGACATATGTATATTCCCTTCGTAGAGTTCGAACCCGGTGATGTGAGTGAGTCTTTTGGCATCAGCACTGAGGTCCATCCTGATGGAGGCTTGGAACCGCGATCGTCGTGGCCGGGGAGGGGTGGACGTGTTCCCAGGAGTTGGTTGAATTGGACGTCCCGAGCGGCTTGAGTGCAACCAATGAGTGCTCATCAATCGTCGAACGAATGGGCTCAGCAGCAGTCAACCTGCTGCAAAGGCAGCAGAGAACCTCTATATATACCCTCCTGCAGCAGATTAACATGGACTCTCATTTGTAGAGGAAAAACGAGGAAAAGTCTTCCATGGGGTAGTTGTCAGTGTCCATGTTAGTGTGCAAGGGGGTATGTACAAAAAAGGCAGGCACGACCCACACGTTGTTTTCCTCCAATTTTTAGGACTTCCATGCGATCAGCCACGGGAAACATCTCTGTGAAACTGGGCGACTTGGTTTTACAATAAAGATCAATAAAGACGACTTGGTTCACTGGTTCACCGAAGGATTTCTGTTCATAGAGCATGGACCCAACCCATTGAGGAACAACACCTTTCAAATGGCCCTGAAACTGGAGCCCTATCTCCGAACTCATGAGCGACTAGCGGCGCTCCCGTGCGCATCTTCTCCAGCTGGCCAGGCCGACGCCGACGAGGCCGACGCCGACGTGGTGTCTCCGGCTTCTCCGCCGAAGCGGCGGATGTGCCAGACCTGCACTCGGCCAGAAAGCGCCTGCATCTGCGCCAGCCGCCCGGGTCGAAGTCAGACCGACAGCACCGGAAAGACCGGGGGAAAGGCGCTGACTGGTCCAGATGTTGGGCGTTCGCTGTGGGGAAGTGGAACCCCGTGGTCCTGTGAAGTCCACTTCCCAATCCATGGGACCGTCATAGTTCTGCCCCCTTTTCAACCACCCCACTGTAGTTAAATATGTCAATATACCAACCCCAGACAGGTCATGCTAACGGCTTCCACAGGTGAGCGGGTAGTCGAATGGACGTTGCTCCCGATCCGGTCGATGACTTCAGCCAACGGCTTCCATTTGGTGTCGCCGCTGAGCCATTTGGTGAACCAGGTGAACCCCATCCAGGATCGGTGCCCAGATGTCCACGTTTCAAGCCTCGTTTCGTGTGCGTTCGTCTTGGTGTTGAAATGGAGAGCTCTCCAGGACCGGAGTCCCAGTCTTGGTGATGTCGGCCTCCGATATGGACCACCCGTGGGGCGAAGATGAGGTTTGCCCTCGACACCTTTGCGACTACCAAGTGGTCTCGAAAGCATCCTTTTGCTTCGTCATCCAAAGGCAGGGCCGTGCAAGTCAGCCCAGGCCTATTGAACTGGCATGCAACCCATCCACGCAGCCCCAATTTTTTCGGCATCCATGTAGACAAAAAAGAGTTAATTATACCCGATTTATGACATTCCATGTTAGCAACTATTCCAAATATATATGGAGTGTTTGGGAATTGCAGTAGGCTTTGGATTCCACCGGTCCTCAAACACGTCCCGGACATGCGTTTGGACGCTCACAAGGACAGACTGGAAGCCAGCCGAACCTTAGCAGACAGAGACAGGAGGACCCATGTGGACAAACCTGTTTCTGTTTCAGACGGGGTGCCTTCCTTCCAGAAATGCGGCGCTTACGCGAGCTCCGCGTCTCTTCAAAGACACTCAATTGGTTCGACACTGTGACAGCCTTGGAACCAAGGGCCTCACTAGTTGAATTTGGACCGGCGAGAGATCCGGCATGCATTTGCAGACAGCCCTTCTTTCTCCGACAGGAGCGGCGACAGAAGCACCAGAGCGCTTGGATTCTCGGGCATTATACGATTGCCGCATTCGTTGGTCTTCTTAACTGTCATTGCCCCTGTTGATGCGTTGGATGGCCCCTGTTACAAGCATCCAAAAGCGCGGTAGGAGGGCGGCACCCTAAGTAGATTCTTTTGTCCCGTAGAAGGATTGTAGAGATGATGACCCTGCCAACAATTCAGGAAGTGCGTCACTCCTTCTCTTCCTTTTTCCATGCTGGAGGGGGAGGAAAATCAGAATCGGAATCGTACATCCACTAGGCTTGCGACTCTCGCTGGCTCGCGGTGAGGACACCAAGTGAACTGAAAGCCAATGTGCGTCAAGAGCCTGCCCAAAGTAGATTTGACCGGTAACATCCTGGACGACTGGAGCAAACAGAAGACGAGGAAAACCACTCAAGACCTATAGGTGATACTAATACCTAGAAGATCCTTTCGGCAGAAATTCTTGCCTTTTTCGGGAAGAGCGGCTCTCCCCGTCCTGGGGCGGAAACCAACTTTTTGCCGCGGAAATGTGTTTGTTGCCGCAAATTTTCCCTTTCAGGAATCTAGTGAGAGACTACATATATTCTATATAGAACAGTTGAACCCTTTTGGGTGGTTTGCATGTGCATTGGGCATTTCTGCCTGGAATGGTCACCTCAATGATACAAAAAGATGGCGGCGCCTAAGTTTCCACCTCCACCTGCAAATCTGGCTACCATGTCTTTGTTTTTGAAGGTTTCTTGTGCGGAATGAGCACACGAGCAGTAAAACCAGTCCAAAGTTGAAAACACCTGGCGCGAAAATGCCCGGGAAAGAGGCGGAAATACCCGGGAAAGAGGCGGAAATACCCGGGAAAACGGCGGAAATACCCGGGAAAACGGCGGAAATTTCCTGGCAGAAGGCGGGATTCAAGAACAGTGCCCTTGAAGGGCTTGAACATATATCGCAGCCTCTTTGTGAATGTCATGAATTTAGAAGTAGGATGTCAGATGTTGAGATGTGAAACTATGGCCTTGCAGAACGATATGTGGTCTGCAATCATGGAAGAGACAACCTGGTCGGTGTTAGGCAGTGGTGATGGTTTTTGAATTGCTATGTCGGATTTTACTCGAGGCAAAAATTCCCCGCTGGCTGCGGAAATTCCTACCTGGCGCGGATTTACCTTAAATCCGCGAATCCTCCCGGGCAAATCGGGCTGAGGCAGAAATTTTTGCCCCAGGTGCTTTTAGGTATAGGTGAAACCTTCATAATATGTTCCCTTGAATTCTGTGTGGGCCACCGAAAAAAAGCGCCCCTGGTCTCCGCGACGTTTGTTCACCGCGGCCCGAGGATTCTGGAGCGGTGTCTCTCTTCCGTGCGGCAGCACGTCTGCAGGAAGCTGCCCACGGCGCCGAGCGGTCCAGACGCCGAGAGCGCCCCAGGCGCCGGGCGAGCGCGGGTGGATCGAGAGGAGCCCCGGTGTTTTGTCCTTTTTTCGTGTGATAGTTTTTTTTCAGTTATTATTAGGGGGGGTACAAGCCGGTATATTTGTTTTTTATATAATGCGTTTGGATGGCCAGGAATGAGAATGACGCACCTCAAGTAAACATGCAAGGTGGATGGCCCCATTGGAAGACTAGGAGCTGGTATAAAACCAGGAGGTGTTCCAAGCTATACTGTATGTTTGTTGGAGGAAGGGTACCTCAGGCGATGCGGTTGGTGGATGTTGGTGGTAGTTCTAAAGTTTCTGAAGTGGAGCGGGAGGTTATAATATGTTGTTATACAAGGTGGGCACATATTCACCAAGATGCGTGCGGGCAAGGAGCCTCATGATCAGTCATTGGTTTCTCAACTGGCAAAGTTTCCCTTTGTCTCTTCTGAGAGATGGCAATCAAAGTTTCCTCCCCGGGCCGCCAGGGTGTCATAGGGTTCCTTTGCATTTTCGCACAGAAACTTGGCCGCTGCAGATGGGGTGTGGGTATGTCACCCTTTGGACATACACATGATTGACCTTTTCCAAGCGATCGACCTCTATTTGGGCCGTCTTGAATCGAATCACCTGGTGGCTCAGGCTTTCACGATGCGCAGTGGGTTGGGTGACGTCGCAGCGGTTGGGTGACGTCGCAGGCATTCCAAGTGGTTTGGAGTATCTCTACGAGCAGCCCGACACTTGCCTCCTGGTCTTCCCCGGCACCGGCGCCAAGCCGCTGCGACCCTCGGCCGCAAGAGTCTGACACGCCCTATATACTGTATTCTGCCAAGCGCTGCCAGTGCGAAGGATTGACCTTGGCGAAAAGACATGCAAACACTCAACTCACAGTTTCCGTGTGCCATGTGTTGGTTCATTCCAGGGTAGACTGAAAAAAGTGGACTGTGCTCAGCATCCGACTTTTGGGTTCTGAAGACCATTTGTTGGGTTCGCTCCTGGTAGTTGGATTGGTTGTCATGAGCTCGCTCCTGTCAAACTTAGGAGATGTTCTAGATCCCGCTGCTTAGATTCTGATCTGACGTGGGCCAAGGGAATGCGAAAGGAATAAAACCGGTCTAAATGTGACTGCTCATTGGCCATGTTTTGTACACATTAATGACCTCGGATTGTTTTGCTGATGAGGCGCTGTTCGATAACTGTTGTATAGTTCCTCCTGGAATCCTCCTCCAAATTTGAGATATCAGGATTTGCCATTTCGCAGAACCATGTGTGCGTGTGGCGATGTTGGTGCTCTCAGAGGCCTTTTGGATCCTTATGTTTTTTTTCCCCCTGGGGAATGGATGAGTACCGGTCATGCACGCCAAGGTCTCTTATTACAAAGTCGGATAGCGGAAACACAAATATGATCCAGTGGACTCTGGGACTCGGGGAGCAGTGACCAGTATAGATAACAGGCTACAGAAAAGGTCTCTGAAATGGGATTTTCCCGCCGTTGGTCGGGCGTTCTCTCCATTCGGATCCGCTAGCGGGTATCTCCATTGGATGCGCCGAGCTAGACGGTATGCTGTCAGGTGTCCAGTGGATTCCAGCAGTCAGCAACGTCCATGACATCCAACTCCCCAAAGAAGGGATCTATGATGTCTTTAACTATCAAATGGTTGAGAGAGGCTCCCAGCAGCTCTTGCCTGCAGCTTCTTACCTCCATCATCCTCCATTTGGTATGTTGAAAATATGATGCTAAACTCCCAAGCCACCAAACAGTTGAGAGGAATCGTTCACATATCCCAACTTCGGAAGTTCGATTTTGTGACCGTGCATCGTCCGTGGATCGCTGTTGAAGCCGCGGCCACGCACCGAACATCGGGGACACGACCCAGGGGGTGAAGCATTTAATTTTGGTGGATGCTACTTGGCGCTTTGCACGCGAGATGGCCGCGGTGGAGGAGGAGTGGACATCCGAGCACGGGCTATTGGAAGTTGGAGCTGGCGCATTTCTAGTCCTACTTGTAGTCCTGGATATCGCGTGATTTGTTGGGATTGGTGCGGCGTTTGAACGTACTGTATCAGACAGGACGGCTTTCTGAATCAAGATATGTTTGCGTTGCCTAGACCAACCCCAGACACTTGGCTAGTTTTCAGCTAGGAAACAATCACACTTGAATAATTAAGATATCCTTATGTGACTCCCCCTCAAACCCTTCATGTGGGCATCTTTCGAATCAACCAACATGCAACATGACCACCAACGGATCCACAGTCTTTCCCACCCGGAAGAAATCACATAAAACATCACACCGCGCCCAGAACATCGCTCGATCCACGCCTTCTCCGATGCTTGAACCGTCCACCGGTGGGTGGGTGGGTTCCGGCACAGGCAGGTCCCTTGTCCCAGATCCGCCGGGTGGAGCTCACCCCTCCTCACCAGCTCCGCCCCGTCTTCGTGGTGCGGAAGCTGCTTGGGCACAGCGACGTTGCAGCGGCGACGGGCCGGTCCCGGTCCACCGTCTTCGTCCGGAACCCTTGAGACGTGACCCGAGCATGGTGGGCTTCGGTATGTATTCGGAGCATGTTCCGAGAGCGTCAAGACCCAACTCGACGTGGTTTTTTGTGGGTTCCATGTGGACCTTCTTGCTGGGGAGGGCCATGTTTGGACGAGCGGAGGGCCATGCGTCATCAGCTGTTGGACTCCGGGTGGTCGACCGGGTGGTTCACCGGGTGACACGGCAGTGGTCGTGGGATCAAATCGCCAGGAGTTTTCTAAAAGGGGCTGCACGCCATTTATGACTAATTGTAAGTATTATATATATTATATACACTTATTCCATCTTATTCCATACACATGGATGGTTTGGGATAGTGGTTTGGGATATATATTGGTTGGTGAAGATTTGGAAACTTGCGCATCCTGATGCCAAAGTGCGCAGGGTAGTTTCTCTTAATCTTCTTTTGGGGTGGTGTTATTGCTGGACCTTTTCTGCAGCCCACTGGATGTAGCATCCCATGGGTCCTGCATGTCCTTCCTTAGGGAGCGCAAAACCTCGCAGCGATCCAAGTGTTTGGTTTTTACTGTGAATCATGGCTGACGTATGAGGCCCCACAACCCAGTGTTCATGAAAGATTACCAACATTTTTTGCACCTTCCTGCTCAGGATGAGGTTTCTGCTTGGAGAAAGGAGTTGTTTCGTGTTGTTGTTTGTCTCTCTCTCTATGTTTCTCTCTTGGAGCCCAGAAGCACCCCAAATTGATGTCACCCTCGCTTGGTGCAAGAGGTCTCTATCAACCAACGTGTCCAAGTTAAAAGGTTATTTGCTATTAGTTGATTGTGTATATATTTGATGCATTAGGGGCAAACGACTGAGGTAAACACATCGTCGTAGGACATCAATAACGGCTCCCAAGAAAATCCTTGCGGGAAAAGCACTGGCGACGTACAGAGGACCAAACTTGCCCTTAACTGGGATGTATCTAACATAGTTGAAAATTGATTTCAAAAAATATGCATTTTCCTTTGAACTATGCTAAATGCATCCCACTGAAGGTTGCTGATTGATACCATCCAATTCCAAGAGCGAGCTGAGGCCCATGGTCTTGACCAAGGAAGAGGCTGAACCTGGTCGCGACAACTCGTAGACTCTGTGACGGGCCAAGTCGCTCTCTTGGAAATGCATGTGGCACTCCCGCACAAATGTCGGACACTCCATGGCACTGGTCAAGAGCGGCCTTTTTTTTGGGGGGGGGGGCTACACCTGGCTACAGCCGACTCGTCGAAGCATGTCGACTCGTCGAAGCATGTCGAAGGCGGAGCCAGCACAGTGGGGCTTCAGTACCGCTGAAGCAGCAGCCCTGGCGGTGGACGAGATCGCTCATCTCCGAGGCCGGGAGGGCCAAGGAGGTTTGTTTCGCTGGGCTGACCAACAGAGGTTGAAGGACCTTGTAGACATCCCATAGGTACCCCAGTATCCTATAAGGTCACTTATATAACCCCTCTTGGGAAGTTTCTATGTGTTTGGTTGATGTGTTTAGGTCGTTGACACACGTGCGCTGGATGGGAGCCCTTTCTTTCAAGCTCCGGATCGTTTGGGGTTCACTTGTTGGTTCCCAGACCATCCATGGGACTGCCTGGAATATATATGGTTGTCAAGGATGTTTTCATGTAGTTTTTCATTTATATATAACTCATTGTCACGAATCCAGTCCCCTCCGTTTGGTTTGGGGTTTGACCACTAGGGACACTCCATTTTTCACACCGAGGACGCCCGGACGCCGCGGATCCCGCGGACGCGGACGTCCCGGGCGAAGCTTGGGAGCTGGTGACTCGTGCCTTGCGGGTGCCTTGGGCGACGAGTGCAGGAGTTTAGACAAATCCAATACCAGGCCCCCGGTGCCAGGGGTGGTGAATGGATACCCCGAATCACCTCTAAGGAGCTATAATTAGACACCCCTGGCCTGGGGGCCCTGGCATGTGTGCAGCTCAGTAGTCTTCCTAGTCTTTCTTCAGTGGCGTGCTGAAACTAACACTCCCTGCATGGAATCATGATGAAAAGACGTAGATGGCATGGACTACACGGGTGGTGCCTCCAAGTAACCATGATGACTCCAGAGAGTGTGTAACACGTGTACCCAGACCATCCTGTTTGGGTGTCCAATGGAGATCCCTAAGTAGTGCAGGGTAATTAGTCCATTCGACACCCATTCGATGGTCCTGGCATGCATTTTATGTTTTCTCGTTCTTTTTTGGCATGGCCTTCACGGTGGATACTACAGACTCACTTTAACGCGTTGAGATCATTTGAGATCCATTCCTGGACGGATGTGTCTTGAACATGAGATTCCTACTTGCACACTGGAGCGATCGAATGGCAATATGTTCTATTTGGTGCAGGCAGCGCTTCCAAGAGGCGAGCAGCGCTCGAGAAGCTGCTGCTTTAGACGTTTTGCCACTTATGACAAGGCTTTAGGACCAAGTCTACGAACACACCCGCCAAGGTTCCCAGTAGATTTTGGTGTGCAATTCTTGAGCAAAAACTTGGTAGTTGTGGGGTCGCCCGCTTCTTCACAGCGGCCAGGCACCATGTTGTTCAAAAACATGTGCGTTCTTTGAGTCAGGTGGGTCCATGTGTCTCCAAAAGAAGTCGTCCAGAAACGAGAAGCTACCTGACTACCATCTTGCTACTTAGGAGGTAATTAGAACCGAGGGTCCAACAAAGATTTGCCGAAGGTGTTTACAGAACGTGCAGCAGCTAATTAAGGCGTACGCTCAGATTCAGCTGGAGCATACCGAGGCGCGGGTTTTAGTGGGCGACCGAGCAGAAGAATCGGGTGGAACAGATACACTGAGTTCATGACTGCTATGGCCCAGATACTCCATGCATTGCATGTTTTTGGAATATGTTTGAATATTGACCTACACAACACCCAACGTAGCTAAATAGTGGTCAATATGCCGTCACTTTTGGAAGACGGAGGTCGGTGGTTCTGCTCAGTCCAAGTGGGACATTTGAGGTCACAGCTTCAGAGGTACGGCCATCCAGGTCTTTCGGCTGTTTCTGAGAGCTCATCACTGTGACCGAAGAGGTCTGAACAGGAGAGAAACTGAAGAGGGGAAAGTCGATTTGAGAGATCGGAGGCTGAACTGAAATGGTTGCAGGCTA